TTAAAATTCTCTGAAATTTGCTAACAGACTTCAACACCCTCATCTTCTTTTGAATGAAACATCCAGCCATGCTTCTAAACTCTACCGATGTATATTCAATCTCTGAACCCTCAAGTATATCACTCTTGGTAGTACTGTATTTTTATCCTTGACCTCCAATCCTGTTTTTCCTCTCATTTGTTTTATTTCCTTTTGGATCCTTCCTGAATTTAATGTAATTAGGAATGTTTAGTAGCTTCTCCTATCCACACTTGAAGCATGTCCCTTGTTTTAGGCACTAAATAAAACAAATGTGGTAAGGACTGTCTGAGTTAAACAACATTACTTGTACTTCTGATGGACCATACACCACCTTATCACTTGGGAGTATTGGTGTATTTTACACAATTACGAAGTTGTGGGTATAGGAGAAGATAGTGAGTACAAGGTCAGCTGGGAAGTGTGCAGGATACAGGAGTTGTACACTGGGGTCTAAAGGGTGCAGGGGTGTACAGAAGGTGGATAACATACATGCAGTGTACAGGGGGCTCTTGTTGGCGTCCCTTCCTGTGAGCCTAGAAGGGCAAGGTTCAAGGATAGTAGGAACTGCAGATGCTGGAGAATCCAAGACAACAAGGTGCGGGGCTGGATGAACACAGCAGGCCAAGCAGCATCATAGGTTCAAGCTCCACCTGCTTCGGGAATGTTTAAAAATATCCACAGGGGGCTGAGCTGTACACAAGTCGGAGGTGGGAGTTGATCATGGCGTAGAAGATACACGATGTCCAGGCATCTGGGTGTGAGGTGGGGCTTGGATGCAGGAGTTGTATACATGTGGTATGTTAGAACAGTTTGGGGGGAGGGTTCGGTGTCCGGATATTTGGAGCAGGGGGAGACTTGAACTCGGGCCTCTTGGTCCAGAGGCAGGGACACTATCAGCGTGCCACGACAGCACACCGTATTGGGGCTGGGCCAGGAGTGCTCACCGTGTGGTTTGGGACGAACGGATCAGGGGTACACACAGTATTGAGGGAGGGGTGAATAATGTATTTTTTTTTTATTCCGGGCCCCTACCTTTGTTTTTCTGGGTCCGCGAAATCTCTTTTTCGATTTCCGAGATTTTCTCTAAAATCCCCATGCCGGCGGGCTCTTGTTCGAATTTTTTCTCTCTCTTCGGGAAATTCGGCGAATATTCTACGAGATTCTGGAAACTTCCCGCGTGGACAACCCAGGAACCGGAAACTGACGTTGATGCAACCGGCAGCTTCGTCCCCGGCCGCCGGGGAACTGCCTGATCGTTCAGGTATTTAAATTCTCTCTTTCCAGACCGCTCTGAAATGGGATAGACTTTTTTTTTGTCGCCGTTCTCATTTTTAAAACATCCCGCGACGTACTACCATTGGTAATCTTTTAGTCTTCGCCTTTCCCACTTTCCAACGATGATCCTGAAACTTTGTTGTCAAATCCCTAACGAAAGAAAAAGCGAACTTTTGCTCACTCAGAGATAGCAAGAACTGCCGATGCTGGAGTCTGAGATAACAAGGTGTGGAGCTGGAGGAACACAGCAGGCCAGGCAGCATCAGAGGAGCAGGAAAGTCGACGTTTCGGGTCCGGGACCCTTCAGAAACGTTTGCCCATTGTTGGTTTACTTTCTGCTCAATTGAGTCCGTAATCGAGGAATTTAAGAACTGGACTTTCTTATCATCTTATGAAGACCAGTTTTCATTCAAAACATTTAGATGATGTTGGTTTCGTTCGAATAGGAAAAATAAGTTTCAAAATTTGACATGAGACAAAAAAAACACTGCAGATGCTGGAATCCAAAGTAGACAAACAGGAGGCTGGAAGAACACAGCAAGCCAGACAGTATCTGGAGGAAAAGAGAGGTCAACGTTTTGGGTATTACCCTTAAGAACTGGATATGGGGCAGGGGGTAGCTGCAGATAAAAGGCGGGGGGCGGAAAGAAACAGAATGGTTGTATTCGCTGCTTCCACCCCTCCCTCTTTATCTACAGCTTCCCCTACCCCCACGTCCAGTCCTGAAGAAGGATAATACCCAAAACGTTTACTTCTCCTTTCCTCCAGATACTGCCTGGCTTGCTGTGTTCGATAAATTACTAACAAGGTTACCAAACATTCTTCCGTTTAGACCAGTTCAACAAAACAATGTTTTTACCTCCTTTCCAATGGGTAGTTTTATCCCATGGAGACCAGAACTTTTTTGTTATTTTTGAAGTAGCATCCAACTAACATTAAGTGCATACAATCTGCTTTTCAATTCTAGAAATTAGCTCCTAGTCTAATTAAGCCCCAGTACTTCTTTATGAATTGTGTACCCAAACCTCCAGATTCCTCTGTTGTTTAAATTTATTATTCAAGCAAAATGCCCTTACTTACCAAAAAAGATAATTTCACACTTAACGATAGTGAAGTTATTTTGCCAATGATGATGTTTGCTCAGAGTAATTGCTTATTATTTGTGTATTATGAAGACCTAGGACCAATTACTAGGAGGACCTCTCCCACCATTGTAGATATTTTCCAATCAATCAACCTATTCACATATGTTATGACATATCTCTGGTGCAGGTAGGATTTGAATCCAAGTCTCTTGGCCCAGAAGTAAATAGATACACTGCAACTGCACCACAAGGACCCATTGCCCCACCACTATATGCGAGGGGTCAGTTAGCGGAGTTGGCTGGACAGCTGGTTTTCAACATAGAGATGCCAGTATTTTCAATTCCCACACCATTTGAGATTACCATATCACTCCTTCTCTGCCTCTCTCCATGCCATAAGTGTGGTTACCCTAAAGTTAAACCACCATGTGTCATCTTTCTCATTACAGAACAGCACTATGATCCTCTGGGACTATGTTGACTTCACCTTGTACTGAAAGGTGATATATCCCAATCAAACAAACTTTACTCCTCAAGTGAAGAGGGGGGGATGACCTCATAGTATTGTCACTGGACTGTTAATCCAGGGATTTGGTTAATATGCTGGGGACTAGAGTTTGAATCTTGCCACAATGGATGGTGAAATTTGAATTCAGTAAACATCTGGAATTAAGAGTCCAATGACGCCAATGAATCCACTGTCGGAAAAACCCATCTGGTTCACTCATGTCCTTTCGAGAAGGAAACTGCCAACATTGCCATGGGTCTGCAGTCCCATTTAGGCCAGACCAGGTAATGTAGTGAGTTCTTAACTGCCCTCTCGGCAATAAATGCTAGCCTAGCCAGCAACACACACATCTCATGAATAAATAAAACATTAGTGTTTGAACTTTAGCCAAATTAGTAGTGTGCTTTACAAAAATAAAATTGGCAGTTTCATACCACAGAGCTGCTTTTCAATGACAAACTATGAGCACTTCATACTACTTTTATAATCTCAATGTTTCTGTAAAATTGTCCTGCTGGATAGGAAACAGTTAATAGCATCATGAATAAAATCTAATTGGTTTAGATTTTGTTCAAGTTAATGCGCTAATATTATAAATATTCCAATTTCATTCCCTGGAATGCATTAAAGTAATATTCAATTCCATTTACAAGAGAGGGAAAGAATTCAAACTTCATAAAGTCTTTCACAAGGAACTTTATTGTATGTGGTACCCTCACTTATTTCACCACAGACCTGAAACTTAAAGCTCCTGATGTCTCATGAACAATGCAATGTAATACAACATTCATTTCCATGCTTTGATTTATACAATAAAATCAATTCATTTTCAAAACTAGTTCATTGCTCTCTTCCAAGTGTCTTTAGGTCAAACGCAGCTGTTTCACCCTAGTCATCCATCCTGCCTCCCACTTACACGACTCTTCATGTTTTAAATTAAAAAAAATGGACTTTCAGCTTACTTAGTGGAATTCCAAAAAATGTACAAGTCAGAGGAAAAGGAATTCTTGACCTGTGTGAAATTAGAAATTCCTATTTTCCAAAAAAGGTTGCAATAGGATAAAGCAAAATACTGCCCTCACTTTTACACGTAGGTTCTAATATTAGAGTCTGTTCAGATTTTTTTTTTTTATTTTTTAAAAGGAGAGATTTCAATTAAAAGAATGCAAACCTAATCAATGCAAAATCTTAATCCAAGGGTGAAATTCCATTCTTTTCACTCTCAATTCATTCAGGACACACACACACACATACACACTAAAGTGGACATACATCCTGATTCAGGTATAGCATCCTTCTTGGCAAATCAGTAAAGCATTTATCAAGATTTAGCTATCTTTATAGAAGTCACAATGGACAAAAAAGCCGGTGCAATAAATTTGTACAAGTGGTGGTATTAATTCTTTGTACATCATTGGCTTACAATGCTTGGAAAATAAATTTTTCTTCGATTTTATAAGAAGAGGAAGCAGTAACCCCTCCCTT